GAACCAACCAACCATGTCAGTTCACTTATACCGGTCTCAACTCTCAACTTTTATACATTATTCACTCACGACGTGAGAGCTAGGAACCAAACAAGCAACACCAGTCGTATATACCGAACCCACAACCTCTTTCTTCGTTACACCAAACTCATTGCGGAAAACTCGCTCGCTGGTCTCTTGCCTATCCTCACTCGCATTTTGTAAGCTCCCCTGGTCTCACCTGTATGGTGGTTCAAATGCTCGAGGTTAAAGTTGAAGAAACTACGGGCTCTCAGGGTCCAGGTCTCTCGCTTTATTTTCCCCAACTAAAGTCTTTTCGCCCTGTCTTTCCAAAATAGGGATTGTCTCCGGCTCTTTCTCAACTTCTCATTCTTACCCCACGTTTGTGTATGTCGTTTGCCTGGATGTTGCTTGTTGCTTGTCCTCTTTCTCTTGGGGGGTTCACGTTTGGAAGAGCTCGGGACAAGCTTGGCAAGCTTGGGGGAACCTGGGGGGGGGGGGCGCCGTTTGGGTGGGTTAGCTTCCGGTATCATGAGTTCATAACGCCGAACGGGACCTTCGACAGTCTTTGATTGGTATCCTGATGGCTGTTTGTTGAGGGCAAACAATTCAGTTGGATGTGTATCTGTCATGAGAAGCTCTCAATAGCAAGAGCATAGGAAGCAAGAGTCAGTGCGAACCAGGCTCAGGCATTGTTCTTTTGGTAGGTACGTAGATCGTCGCACAGGCTGACGGGAAGTTTAGGTTACGGGGCGTGTCCCAGATTGCGGATGTGGCGCATCCACCATGTAATTTTAGACAAACGAGGGATATATTGAAAATGCTCGAGAATGGGATGGCGGCGGCGTGATGGTGGACGTGGTGGTTTGGGTTAGGCGAGGTCGGCGATAACATGGGTATACCAGCAGTTGGAACTGAAGTTGGGGGAACCATGCCTTGCTCTTTACCCACACATCCACATTAGCCACAGTATATAGTGTACGAATCCTTAGGTCCTAACAAACGATGATGGGTAGGTGAGTGAGCTTCAGAGAGGCCTCCAAGATCTTGTGATGTCTCCTCCCTTGCGTGGGAGCTGGTCGAGGAAGAATTAGTACTCCCCGGTTTTGCTTTCCTCTTTCAGCCTGAAGAGCTGTCTCGAGATTGCGAAATCGGTCAAGTGACTGGACTGCCGTGCAGCTAAGTCAAGAAGAGGTCGTCAGCGACCTAGCTGTCCGCGCCGTCGTGGCTGAATATTGAGATGCGGGGACAGTTGTGGGAACGCGGCTAGGCTACCATTGTAGAGGAACTTCATCGGATTCAGAGGAGCCACAAAATCAAGCGAGGGATGAGAGATTCATCGGCGCCATCGATCTCACAAAATTTGTTCGAAATAACAGAAACAACATTAAAAAAAAAAAAAAAAAGAAGAAGAAGAAGAAGAAGAACGGGACAAATCCAGAAAAGAAAGAAATGACGAGCGCTAAGCTACACTACTGCGTGGTCGTAGTCGGTGTTGGGGGGCGGGCACGAATCGTCGATCATAGCAATTGCAGGAGAGAATGCAATCGACGACTAGCCCGTTGATATGGGTCCTAACCAAGCACAGTACACCACGAGAACATGGTTTGTTTGATAAGGCACTTGCGCGATGTATGTACTTTCAACAACACAAAAAGGTGCACCTGAAAGCCAAGTGACTCCGAGGCTAGGCTAGGCCAAGCAAAGTGTCCTTTTCATCACCGCCGGCGGGATATGTAGTCTGTCCCTTTCCCATGAAGCCCTTCTTGGTGTTGTCTTTCTCGCTCGCCTTTTTGTTGTTGCTCTCCTTCTTTTTCAGGTTATGGTTCCCCGACCAATTTTGTCAATTGGCCATCGGTAGGGAGCGGCGGCGGAGAAGAGAAAAGAAAGAATGGGCGAATGCAACATAAAGTCAAAGCAAATGCTACGGTTACATCGTTTGGCCCTAGTCTTTCCCTCTCTCTTTTCCCAAGATTCCCAAATCAGTTTCACCTGCAGTAGCTTCGACTTCTAGCGGCCTATACCATTGCGACGGTGCCTTGACAACGTGCTGCAGACAATCGGCTTTTAAGACAGACGTGGCAAACTTTAGTCTCTCGAGGGACTTGACAAGTTTGGGATTGGCCTGTTCTACCGCTGGGTGATGAAGAAGTGACAATGGCCGCAGTTTGGGTCTCGCTGCTCAGTCGTGCTCGTCACGGCCGTTCGGCTCCATTTCATTGGTTGTCTTTTCACATCTTGGGGATTTTCATTTGGACAAGTCGTGACGGAGTGACGGCCGAAGATAGGCTTAGCAGGAGAGGAAAATGCAGCGTAGATTAGATCCCGAAATGTGGTCGCGATACACTAGATGGATCCGAGATCTGGCACACTTTGTCAATCTGGAATGGATGCAGTAACGTCGGGTTACACGACAGTAGATTCGGCCTTTCTCTCCGAGCAAAGCGGGGATAACGACGCTTCGTGATATGTAAGCTCCGGCGACAGGTGAAGTTTCAAAGGAGGAGGAGAAAAAAAAAATAGTAATGATAATTCACACCCGAGCTCTCAAAACGAAGCACGTGGTGGAGAAAAAACACATGGGCAATGAAAATAAAACATCAAACTTTGCGGCTTGTCCCGGACCATGCCGTCTGGTCAGGGTACCCGAAGCGACGATTTTGTGTGAGTGAGGGGCCCTGTCATCCGGGTGCGGTCCATCTATTCGCCACAACGGCGGTGATGAGATTATCTCCAGACCTAGAGCTCTTGCCCGTGCTCTTGCCAGTCTCTAGTGTGTAGTGTGGTGTATCCGCTGTCGTATGGCACAACAACAACATTACATATAAAAAGAAAAAAAAGAAACCAATAGTGTGGGTTCTGTCGGACGCCCGAACATCACTCTATGGCACCATTTTCGGGTTCTCCGCCTGGCGCAGAGAGGATATTTTTGACGGAGAGAGATTTTTTGGGAGGGCGCAGCGATGTGGCCGTTTTTGTCAGTCTGAAATGATGATGTGTTGCTTGCTTGTGAGGAGAGTCGGCGAAGGGGCAGGGTGAGGAGGGGTTGGGCGACCGAAGCGGCGCCGCGGCGACAGTGACACTGGCGAGCGGCTCCTCTTTACAAGAATAAAGTGTCTTGTCACCATTCGGGGACCCATCAGGGCCCCCCATCCGCGAAGAGCCGACTGCGGAGCCTCCGGCTCCACGGCAGTCTTCCGGACCCCCTTTTGCGACGTGAACCGTTTGTTCTCTTGGTACACTACATTTACACGCCAACTGCCTGATGGCCCTGATGGGGAAAAAAGACGTACCGATCCTCAACTTGTCCTACGTACGACATCTTCGCACATATCCAGAAGGGGCTCCAGTTCAGCCATAGTCTAACTCCTTGATATTTCCGTTTGAAACCCGGATGGAATGAAATGGATTCAGTATGGAGGGCGTGAATGATCTTTCATTTTATCTCCCCAGTATCGTGACTGATCGTACGATCCACGCTGTAGTATCCGCCGCATCTTTGACTCTCGAGTTCGCGCGGTTCGAGGCCAGTATGGAGTAGAATCAAAGAGGAAAAAGAACGCTTTCAGTGTAGAGAAGTCTCGTCAAGTACGGGTGATGTGAGATGGATGGACCAAATGGATAGAAAGGAATAAAGTTGTGTAAACATTGGAGCGAAGAAACAGTGGATTCGAGATGAACGGCATAAAACGACCCCTGACCCTTGTTAACAACGCCCTTCAGTGAGTGCAGTGCCGTTGTGGGCTCCGGCTCGTTGTGGCACAGTGCTGTGATGACGGGTCACCAGCCATCATCACGACACGGTATAGGGAATGGCCAACGACACCACATGTCAGTCTGCATCTTTGGGTGCGAGAACGGACATGTCCAGATAGTATTTACGAATCGGGCCTGGTGATCAGTCGATAATAAGCAAAAAACACTAAAGCTGCAGCTGGCGTCAGACCTTGAAGTACTATAATGGGAACTCTCAGACTCTACGTAGTGCGGAAAGAAGATGTCTGCCAGTTGGGGAGAGATGCCAGCCCAGTCTTCGTCCTTCAAGCTGCAAGACTTGTATCACAATCAAATGCAGGTCACAAGACGACGAGTACCATGTTGTCATACCGCACCACCGGGCTCACCATCCGGTATTGTGCTCCCGATCAATAGATGAAAGTGCTTCCATGGAAGTTCCATGGAAGTTCCATTGATGTTCAGGAGCTCTGGAGTAAACAGCTGGATTGGCCATCTTGAGGAGATTACCTTTGCGCCTCACCTTGAGCTCCCTGGCTTGCCCAGCTTCGCCTGGCACCAACATCACAACGTTGGTGGATGTGACAACCATCTCGCCTTTTCCGTGCCCATCCGTCATGAAGGGTTTCAGGACGGCTCGATCGGCCGCCGTTTTTTCCTCTCTCATTCACTTTGTGCATATCAGGGCCATAGTACTCTATGTTGATACCGCTTTTCAGGGAGGCGGTAAGCTGGCAAAGCTGGGGTCTGGAGATGCACACGCCAGCTCATCTCGGTATAGCTAAACCCGGTCGACCGGTTCTCCAAAGACATTGCAATGATCAACATCCTTCTGCTTCCTACCCGCTTTTCTTTTGGCCTTCTAGAGGCTCCTGAGTCCTGGAGAAAGGCTGATAGCTGTATCCGACGGTGTGGTTCTGGGCCCCTCGTGTCGAGACCGAAGTGCACGCGTTTCTTGCATTGCAGAAGCTAGAGAATACACACAGATCAGATCCGTGATGCCCATGCGGTGTCGTCAGCCACATGGCCTTCGACCAGGGGGCGGACCAGCCATCTGGTGCGAGACTCCTCCGTACCCGGAGCGGAATAGTCTCAGACAGGGGACTTTGGGGCGCACGAATGGGAAGTATTCTTTTCCCCTTTTCAGCGATTAGTCTCCTGAATACCCATGGATGGGGAGACAAGAAGATGGCAAGTGAAGCGAAATGTGTGATTTAAAAGGACTCCAAACAGCTCTTGATGTAGGTAGACTCCCCATCACACATGTCGCTTCACTTGCCAACTAGATCACTGGCAGAAATGCGAGTTGGTGGAATGCTCCCCGTGATGAAACCCCCAACCGACAGAAGGATAGTGGTAGCGAAAGGCGCAATATGCGGGGGGTTTGAGTTTCCCGTCCTGATTTACATCAAATCATGGCGTTGATCCATGTGTCCGCTCCGCTCTGCCCGGTTCTCCGTAGATTCATCGAAGGGAAAGGGAAGGAAATGCTTTGTCCAAGTTGCATCGGAGCATTAACATGACATGTTATGTCCATGGACACGGACTTTGCTGACGGCATGCAGTGATCTCCCGTCCTTCCCTTGCTTCGCCTATGCTGGCACACTGATCGAAGGATGGACACAACGATGATGATGAAGAAGATGATGGTGGTGGACGTTGATTGCGCAAACATTGAGATGGCCGAATCCTAGCCAGATGTCCTCGCCGGTTCCCGGCTGGTCGTTGGTGGCCTTTGTCATGTTCATGTCTTGGGGCCCAGGGGAAACCAGGCGAGGCCAGGCGAGCCATGAGCCATCCCGCAGGAGTGACTTGACCACATCTAGTTTACCGCAACGGATCCATCCCAGGTCATGGCACGGGATTATTGGGTGCCTAGGTACCTAGCGACCCTGGGTCCAAAGGGTTTTTCCTCTCGAGGGCTTTGCAGTTTGCACTGTTCGCGGTACCTGAAGGTCCCGTATGGACACTAACACCCTTCTGTTGGCTTGGGTCGTACTGGAAGGTCTTGGAGGTCTGTGCATCCAATAGGCACCCAGCTGGCCTCCCCTTTCCTCTCTCCTCTTGCATTCAATGTTGTAGTCCTCATGGTTACTGTCTCTCCACTGTTCGTATCTTCCATCTGAAACCGTATCGCCGAGATGTGGAAGGGAAGGTTGTGTCTCTTGGTACTTGTTTTTGTAGACTGTCTCTCGAAGTACCTATCTTTGTATCTATTCCGCTCCTCTTTCACGATGAAGACGTCGGAGACCGGAGTTCTCATGTGGACTTTTTCAACCCAAACAGCAGAGAGCAACTTTGCAAGGCACTGAGAAAGCCCGAACGGCGGCAACTAGTGTACTATTGGGTGTTTGTGCCTCGGCTCACAATGTCGCTGGCCTTTGGATCACCATCCTCTCCGCAGATACTGCGCGGGACATGGTCCAGGCGAGGAGACAAAGAGTCCGAGCAACAAGCCAAGAGTGGATGCTGGCGATGCTCCCATCATGCCCCACTGGGATGACAATCTTGAGTGCAGGTAGAACAGCTTCCGAAGTTTGCCGGTAACCGAAAGATCCATGGGCTATGAACAATGATGATGAAAGGCTATTGCGTTCAATATAAAACCCAGTCAACGATGGATGGTTTGCAGGACGCGAGGTTTATCAACATCAACAACTAACAATACCAAGTACCTACCTGCTTGCCTACCTTATCGTGTCTACCTTATAACCTGAAGTACTACATACCTCTATGCACAGGAAATCCAGGAACAGATGTGTGTGTGCGTGTGTGTTGGGCAAGTGCAGTGCAGCAGACCAGCAGTGGTGGGGTGAGCACCAAGCAGACACAGCAATGATTTTCCACAGCTGAGTGTCCGTCACTCTCCGTCACTCTCCACCGCAGTTCTGCACTGCTGTACCTGCAGTGTACAAGCCGACGATCGGTCCAGCCGGACCCCGGGCAATGCAGTGTCGGTGGTCGACCATCCAGAAGCAAGGTTCCCCTGGAACTCCTGGGTACAGGTCCCATTTCCACTCTTTTCTTCTTTTTCGAATTCTGCGCCGCCCTGCGCTAGACCTTGAGGAATCCCCATCCTTGGAGGATCACATCGGTCTTGGCGCAAATCGACCAAAGAAAACCGACAAACCTCGCAGCTGGAGACTCGCTGGAGACTGGAGACGACGCATCTTTACCTGCAGTGCCCTGAGTGCACTAGTGTATGTACATACCTGGTAACGTACTCTAGTACTGCGCAGTATATCGCCTGCCCCACACCCTCTCTGCTCCTGCCTCTACACTAAAACTCTCCCCAGGTGGATTTCTCCTCCTTCATTAATTTCGCTCCGCTGCCCTTTTCGCTTTCCTTCCATTCACTGTGCCTGTGGCCTTGCCACATTTCCTAACGTATTTGTCTCGCTTGCTGCCCACGTCCTTCATGGCTGCACGTCCTAATACTTCCATATAGATCAGACTCCCCAAATAATCTTGGACCCTAATCCTCGCCTTGTGAGACAGCGAGAGGACCTACAAGTGGAAAGCTGGTTGCCGGGGCGCATACACTACACCTGTCAGGTACAAACATATCTACCTAGGTACTTTGATCTCCAGTCTCGTTGGTCACAGCAGGCGAAACAGGGTTCCCGGCACTCTCTGTTTGTCGAAAAAAACAAAAGAACATCAAGATCGACCGTCCCGCTTCTCCCCTCGGCCACCACTTCTAGCGACACCAGTTAAAGAAAAGAGGCACCGTTGTCACCATCTTCTTCCATCCGACGGTCTTTCTTTTTCTTCCATTTCGGCCTCACAATGCGCGCCGTTTAATACTTAATACCACCCGCTATCACTCACCGTCATCACGACTCAACACCCTTGATATCGACGACATAGGCTTCGACATCGACACTCGATTCGCTTCCGTGGTCCTCGTTCAATCCTCGATTCTAGTCGACACTTTTAGTTACCATGGAGGGCATTCTGTGCGTGCCCCCCGATAGGGGCCCCATCATTGGGAGGGCGGTTTGGAAGGTGCGCACATATCTGGAGAATCTCAAGCCCGAGGAGCTTTGTGTGTCTGGACAAATTCTGATCGGTTAATAGCCTCGCTACGTCGTTCTGGGAAATGGGCTACGGGAAACGCAAATACAGTCTTGCCTGGGCCGATCACAGAGCAACCGAAGCTCTACGCCAGCCCGGATGCAGATCAAGGTGTCTCCGGATACCATGTATCTTTCCATCCACAAGTCCAAGGTAAGCTCCGGTGCCCTCTCGGTTCGCCTGTGTGGTAGCCCGAGGATGGTCGATCAAACTGGTCAGCGTTTCTAACATCCACTCAACCGTGTAGGAGGATTGGGAGCCGGCATTGCAAGTCGCCGTGTCCTTGATAACCGACTGCCAGGTACAGATGCTGGCTCACCGCAAGCAAGGGCCCGTACTCCCAACGATGGTTGTCAATGTCGCCCCTGATCCCGCCGCTGAGAAGATGCGCAAACGTCGTTCGAGCAGGACCGCCGGCCTAACCACCGGGAAGGACTCGATTCCTTCGACACTGCTGTTTCGCGCAGGTGAGGATAGCCAATCGTACCCTTCGCTCCACGAATGGGCTCGCTTCATCCAACAGCTTATCCGCCCGAATGTCGTCCCAGAGGGGCAGGCTACCCAGCCCCCTTTGAGTCCCATCACTCCGGCCTCGCCAAGTTTTGTCAACCCGTTTTCACCCCGATCCGGTGATCAACAACATAGACCAAGCAGCGGGAGCGCAAGCTCGCGACCCAGTTTTCACCCCATGAATTTTGCACCATTATTCACCAGCCGCGAGCGCCCTGTCACTTTAGTCGATACCCCGAGTCTACACTCCAAGCGCAGCGATGTGTCGTCGCAAACCAACTCCATGAACCCAGGTTTGGGGCATCAGCATTATACGGCCATGTTTCCTGCCGATCTTCCATCACCGGCTACCACTGTTGGTGAGTACCAGGGCGAGTTTATCGAGGGCTGGACTTCCGCTCAGGGGAGGTCTTCCGCACTGAGCTCACCCGTAAGAGGACGTGACAACAGCGTGGGGTCCCACTCACCAGCGCCGCTTCCCCATCAGATGCTCGACCCCACTTCACCCCCGGGCCCTCGGGAGACCATCCTGGATAGAGCCTTCCAAATGCGCTGCATTCCAGGATCGGAGCGCGATGTCCCAGGAGAAGAGAAACTTAGCTCGCTGGCTCGTTTCGATGCATTGATGCGAGAATTGGATGACAAGAGGAAGAAGCGCGAGGCGGATGAAGCTAGGAGCAGATCCGCCACACTTGCAACCTCAGATCCTGCAACAGAAAGACCTGGACTCAAAAGTGCATGGGACGTGGCCGAAGCCTCGAGCCCAGAGGAGGACATTGACGAAGAGGACGAGGATAGTGATTTGCCTGAGGTGGAGCGTGACTCGGAGGATGGCTTCATGATTCCATCCTCTACTCGAAGAGCACTGGAGTTCATCACGGGAAGGAACGAGCTGGCTTCGCCACAGAAGCAGTCCTCTCGCCAACCGATCCGGGTTCCGTTGATGTATAACGCGGACGCATTGAACGCTTTATCATCAGGTGGTGGCAGTTCCTCTCGACCACAGACCGGTTATTCTCACAGGTCTCGCCCATCCATTGGCGCAAGAACACAGTCACAACCTCAAATGACGGAAATGCTTGCTGCTTATGGAAGCCCACTAATGGGCGTTCTTGAAGGACACTCCGAGACGTCGTTTGAAGAAGGTAATATAGCTACCGCGATGAACTCGACTACGTCGACGCCGCTTCAGCATAGCCACCGTCACTCGACATCGAGCGGCAAGCGCCTGAGCTTCAGCGATTTCACCAAACGTCTCAGCAGCACCAGTAGCTTGCTCCTGGTCCAGACCAATAACAGCACCGGTAGCAGTCGTGGCAGCAGCAACAGTGAGGCCGACAGCACACAGGTTCAACCTCAACAGCGACCACCGTCACCGTTGCAGGGCGACAAGATGATCCCTCGGAGCGCTGGCTCGCCGCCGCAACGTTCGATCGACCGAGATGCTTTGGACAAGAGATGCGGCTGGCGCGGTAGCGTTGGGGTGTTTGGCGGTCCTGAGGGCGGTTTCCTTTAGAAGAGGGCTAAACGGCGCCCTTTTGTACCAAGCGCCACCCCGTCAACCGCTGCGATCTCGCTTGTGACAAGTAAGAAGGAGCGGAAGCTGTTTAAACCAAGTTCTTGGCTCGGACTGGCTCGTTGAGCTTTGCCCCCATTCCTGGACCTTCACCTACGTGCATCACTTGTTGCTGGAGTCTCTCATCACAGTCCATCCAACTCTTATTTCACACACATGGCTCTATCAATTCTTTCCCGTCGTCAATAGTTCGTCTTGGCATCCACAACAACTCGTATTTAACGACTTTTCACGATCGAGCGAAACTCAACATTACCATATCATATCTGCACAAACCGGAGTTGGGAGGGCCACACGGGCATCTGGCGTTAGACATCATCATCATCATTATGAGTAGCTTATCTTTTTCCTGCTTTCATGTTTTGGTTAATCCACATCATATACACTCTGAAGGCGTCCCCATTGGGAAGACATGACTTACGTCCTTTGGAAAGAAGAAGAGGAGAAAGAAACGAGGTGGGGGCAAATAAAGCCAAAGAAGTTGGGTACGGGAGTTTTGGGGAGGACGAAATGGGGGAAAAGTTAGAGGACGGCTCGTTGTAGGAGAGCAGGAGGGCTCATGTAATATGAGCAACTGGGCCAATATGCCGCAATGTATATATATTCCCACGAACGACCACAAAATTGACATTACTGGACATACTCGGATTCCAAACTGTTTCTATGTGCCGTGGCGAAATTTGTGGCCTGACTTGTCGAGGCCACAGCCCGCCTTTTACCATTCATTGATGCCGCAACACAAAATGGCACAAGCGACAACCAGATGGTGTTCCATGCGCTCCGACAGATACGCTACATCATCACTACTAGGGTCATTCTTTCTCTCAAACTCACATCGATAGAACTCGCCTGTTCTTTTCTTTTTTTTGAATTTAGCCGCAATAAACAGTCATCAGACAGAGCTCATGAAAATCAAAGAGATAGGTTTAGCAAGAGAAATCCCCTGAGTTCGATTCTCAGTCCATCTGCAAAAGTCGAGGCATCAGGTGTACTGTAGTGGTACATACTGTGGTAAAGCCCCCCCCCCACTTACCGCAGGGGTCAGGTGTTTCGTGGTCCCGCTCCCATCCCCGTGGGGCCCGGGGACCAAATGGATGACGGGCGGAGCTCCGAGCTTTTTCAGGGCCTGAAGAAACAACACCTCACTTCAGCCTTAAAGCTGCAATCAACTGTTTTGTCTCACAAATGCCCAATACTCGTTCGCTTGACTTTCTGGGAAAACAAGCATAGTCTGTAAGCTGAACCTACCGCAACATTTATGCCCACCAGAAGTCGATTTCGAAGGTCTCCACCCTCCAGCGCCCTCGAAACGACAGGTTGGAAAAGGCCGCAGCCCGCGTTGATACGGTACTTATTTCGAGCCGTTTGGTCGGATAGCTAGACATGACTGGGTGACGCTGCTCATTCACGGTAGTGTAAGGTACAAGGCATTAGATACTTTCAATAATCTCACCATGATATTACTCAAACCTTGATATATCAACTCCAGTCCTTAGTAACCTTTGCCATCGACTCACTCGGAGTTTCGCCCACGCTCGTCTTGGATAGGTTGCTTTTAGCTCAGTCTACCCGACCGTCAGTCAAACAGTTGCTTGAGCCTTGGAGCAGAAGCCACCCAGTAGTCAATACTCAAATACCCCCGCCGACGCAGTAAGCAATTTTTCCCCCATCCGACCGAACTTCCCGACTAGAAGCACGTAGCTTGGACTCAACCTCGTCATCATCTACTTGTAAGTCATGGACGTGCTTGACTTCTTCCTGCTTCCAATGTTCGTTCTCTCTTTCACACCAGACCATCGAGATTGGACCCAGGGGCATCCATTGCCAAGCAACAATGCACACACACGACTGCACACGGTTCTCCCCGCGATCGGCGCGCTTCTCTTTTTAGTGTTGTTAGTGCAGAACTAAGGTGGATGACGGTTGCTCTTTGCTGACCCCTCTTCGGTGCAGGGCAGTGATCGATGCTTGTAGAGGTAGGTAGTGACCACCAACAGCCACCCTTCACGTTCTTCGCACTGTCGCAGCGTCGTAGTGTAGGTAACTGAAGCCTCAGCTGTCTCCTCGGTCGCTGTTACATCCGCTAGATGCCGGCCCCGGCTGCCTACAAGTCCCCTACTTACCTACCAAGCAACAACCTTATCTGAGCGGCAACCGGGAAGCCCACCTTACCTACCTGCCTAGCTTTACCTACGTCGATATCATATACATAGCACCACCGGACAACAACTCAACCTGCATCCTCCTCCACGACCACCTTGTTGCTGTGCTGTCGCCTCCGCTCCCCAGTGTCAGTGTTCATCTAACACGCGACCGCCAGCATTCCGTCTCGCTTCCATCCGACCGTCATCGCTTCTCACCACTCAACAACGCTGCGGGAACGGACATCGGTCCCGCGCCAGATACGATTTCACCGTGGCAGACCGAACCCCCAACCAACAAGTTCCCATAGATCCCCCAAACTCCGACCAACACTCAAACACCCCGCAACCTCCGGCTTCCTCTTCCAGCAGCACTGTCGAACTTGCCCCAATTTCCGCTCCACCCTTCCCAGCTGCTCCCCCGCAGCCACCGTCCGTGACGCCATCGGTTCCCACCAGTCTCCCACCGTTGTACGTCCCTCAAGGCCCACACGACCGCCCGTACGCCTACACTCCGTCCCAAGTCCTCGGCCGCCGCCGACTAAGTGATTTGGACGAAAACGGACAAGACGAATACCGTCTAGCTTCGATCGACGTCTCAGTCAGCGCCACCTCTTCAGCAGCCGCTACTAGGACCACTTATACGTCCCTGCGACCACTCAAGCGAAGACGCGGGATCATGTCGGCCGAGATCGATGGCCAGAACTCGTCGAATGGAGTTGGGCAGTCGCTATCTAATGGATCGCGGGCAGAGATCACAATGGCGGTATCTAATGGAAACGGGACGCTCAAGGCAGCATCTGGGCCTCCAAATGGATCGGCTTGGGAGGCGAACCGCCCAAGCTTACCATCAGGGAATTACCACGGCCACAACCGGGAACAGTTTACACGTCTCCTGATACAGGCCATGACGGAGATGGGATACAACGACGCAGCAGATAAACTCAGTCAGGACAGCGGCTATCGACTTGAAAACCCTACGGTGGCTGCCTTTCGAGCGGCTGTCTTGGACGGTGACTGGGGAAAGGCGGAGGAGCTTCTTAACGATGCGCAGATTGCTGGAATAGCAGATCCTGGTTTGAGGGATGGCCTGATACTTGCCGCAGGAGCGGATCGCAACATGATGAAGCTTTGGCTTAGACAGCAGAAGTACTTGGAGCTACTGGAAAGGCGCGAAACACCACGGGCTTTGGTGGTGCTGCGGACGGAGCTCACACCGTTGTGCGGGGACCAGCACCAGAAGCTGGAGTTCCTGTCAAGCCTGCTAATGTGTGCGAGTGCCGAGGATCTGAAGGATAAGGCCGGATGGGACGGTGCTCGCGGAGAAAGTCGGCACACCTTGCTCTCTGAGCTATCTAGTATGTTGTGGAGTGTCAACCTTTGGGTCTTCAAGCCTGCTAACACGTTTTGCCCAGAATTCGTTTCGCCTTCAGTTATGCTCCCTGAGCACAGGTTGGCGGCACTTCTTAGTCAGGCGCAAGAAATCCAAATTAGCAACTGCCTATATCACTCGACCCTCCAAACACCCTCTCTTTACAAGGACCACGTGTGCGATAGGAAGGCTTTTCCCACGATTGCCAAGTATAAGCTGGATGAACACAACGGCAATGAAGTGTGGCAAGTGAGGTTTTCACATGACGGGACACGCTTGGCAAGTTGCGGCATGGAGCGTCTTGTCGTCATTTACAGCGTACCTGAGTTCAAAGTGCTACACAAGTTAGACACGGGCGATGAGCAACACGACAACCGGGGTGTAGGTAACATCGCATGGAGCCCGGACGACAAGATGCTCGTCACTTGCGCAATGAATGCCAAAGTGTGGGATACCGAGGTAAGTGCAGGAAAAGACAGCCACGGCCATAAGTCTCTGTCTGTCCTGCGTTCGCTAACAAGAGGTGATATTGTAGACTGGAGCGCTGCTCAGGACTATCGACCAATTCAACGAGCCAGTCAGTAGTTGCGCTTGGGCAAGCAACTACGTTCTTATCACCGGGTCCTTCGACAAGGACAGGTCAATCTGTTCCTGGAACTTCGGATCAGCCGACGTGTACAAGATCGTGTGGACGAAGGACCATCGCACGGAAGACCTGGCGCTGTCCCCCGATAGAAACTGGGTTGTTGCCCTGGACGACCAAAAGCGGTTTCATGTCTACAACTACCACACGCGCGAGCAGGTTTATTCACATGAGCTGAAGGATAGAGGAACATCACTCTGTATAAGCCAGGACTCGACGTCTCTGTTGGTAAATACACAGGTAGGAACAGCGATTTTGTATGATATTCTCACCAAGGATGTCATTCACCAGTACAAGGAGCACAAGGGTGGGGAATTCCTTATCAGAACTTACCTTGGTGGCGCGAATGAGGGTTTTGTCCTGTCTGGGAGCGAGGGTAAGTGATTTGAGGAAGCTTGTTGACGACATTTGAAGAGCGAACGACGGGGCTAACAGGCTCATTCACAGACGGGTCAATATATATCTACCACAGGTCCACGGGCGCCTTGGTAGCGCGGCTTAAGGGAGCCCATGCACCGCGTTGCAACTCTGTCACGTGGAACCCTTCAGATCCGCGCATGATTGCCAGCTGCGGAGATGATGGGTTGGTGAAGATGTAAGCTTGATAGCCCCTTTGAACCAGGACAGCCGTCAGTTTTGCTGACCATGATGGACAGTTGGTACCCCGAATGGCCCGACTGGGATGAGAATATGGAACACAGCGGCGCAAACAATAACGGAAGCGTCCACGACACGGCAAGGCCGCGATAGAATAGGGAGTTGAGCTGGAACAGCGGACGTTTGTCCTTGCCGCTGACAGCACGTGTGCTCCATACATTTTCCAGGCTGAACATATATTGAGGAACGACGACCAGCCATGAAGTGTACGAAAGGTTAAGTCTGATGATGGTTGTGGAATGTCATGGAAGGATAAAGATAGTACACTCACCAACCAGCGTTGTGTTTACATATTGGGCTCGCTTCAAAGCGATGATTGAGTAATCGATGGATGGACGGGCGGGCGCGAGAGCATTGCATTTTGTGTTTCCCTTTTTTCCTTTATGGCTTGGAAATGTTTTCTATACACAGTCAAGATGTTGTCTCACGCCTCAAAAAAGGTAGAACTGAACAGGTTACAGATCAATACAGCGTAGCATAGGATATCGGGGCGGATTGGCTGGGGTATGTAGTGATAACAGAGATAGTTTTCACATGCTGGTTCGTTTCAGCAGGTGCCTGGTTTACGGTCCACCACACGCCTTGTCTTCTCAATGACTTTTCATCTTGATACCGCCCAATCCGTGAGACCATGACGCGGCCTCAATTAGGTAGAAGAATAAAGCAAGCCATTTTGGCAAGCAAGACGCCTTGAGACATACATAACCGGCCGCGTACGACTACGACGGCGGGGTTTCAGGATCGGCTTCTATGTGTGGGACTTTGTAGACAATAACATGTAATTGCATTTGTCTGTAAAAAAAAAAAAAAAAAAAAAAAAAGTGAGTCCAAAGTTCGGAAAGCAGTGTACATAGTGTAAAGTTCCTCGGCTGATTTGTTCTCAAAGACGTGGTTACAGCATCAGTCTCCACTTCCTCCCATCCGTGGCTTTTGTGTGCTGTGAGTGGCCTGCGAGCCTGCGACGCACGGTGACCTGACCCTGCCCCCTTCAGCGCCCCCTGCTTGTGCGTAGGTAGCCGGACGCTACGTCGTATGAACACGACCCGACTGCCTCGTCGCCTCAGCTTCGTACCAAAAAGATTCCCATCTCACAACCAACGTCTAGTGATATCTTCAGTCGCCAGTCCCAACAAGCCGGCTTGTTCTATACCCATCATCCGTCTCCCGTCAGAGCGCCGCTTGCACGGACCGCGAGACCTCTGAGACGTTTGCGCCTCGCTGTTACGTATCGCCGCCTTAGACTATTCTAGACGTTACCTAGTTCAGGCTCCCGTCCTTATCTACCTCCCGAAACCCAAGCGAAGCGGGAGGAGGCACCAGAATCCGCCGACACCGCCTGCCACCAACCACACGACATCCCTCAACTCCAAACAAACACATCACCATCGTCCACCTCTGCATAGCCAGCAATCATGACGGTAGACGTGAATACCGGGTCGCTCAGCACCCCCGGAGGTATCTCTGACCCCGGCCTCATCAAGTACGTCCATGTCCTGCGTCCACTCCTTCCAGTCTTGTGCCTATCGCATGTCGGGCATCATCGTCTTCGTCGTCTTCAGTTCGCTAACATGGTCGCCATCCGCACAGGCTCGTCAACAAGCTCCAGGATGTCTTCACCACCGTCGGCGTCAACAACCCCATCGATCTCCCCCAAATAGTAGTCGTCGGCAGTCAGTCCAGCGGAAAGAGTTCAGTACTAGAAAACATTGTTGGTCGCGACTTGTGCGCATCCCCCCTCCCCCGCCCCCTTTCCCCGCCCCTAGTCTTTCTTCGCTTTCCACACTAGTTTCCCCCCTCCCCAAAAATGCTAATGCGAGACCCTTGTTTTTTCTCTTCTCCAGTCTTCCTCGCGGCTCCGGTATTGTCACCCGTCGTCCCCTCGTCCTCCAGCTTATCAACCGGACAGCCACCCAGAACGGCTTCGGCAATGAGCTCGACGATAACACCGACAAGGCCGCCAACACGGACGAGTGGGGCGAGTTCCTTCACATTCCCGGTCAAAAATTCTACGATTTCAACAAGATCCGCGATGAAATCAGCAGAGAGACCGAGGCCAAGGTCGGCCGCAATGCCGGCATCTCGCCCGCTCCCATCAACCTGAGAATCTACTCGCCCAACGTTCTCAACCTCACCC